TTAGCTTTAACTTACTATGGTAGGCTTGCCAACCCAAAAATTTACAAAATGCCTCAACATATGGAGCTAGTATTTACCTGGGAGCCAAGAACGTTCATTCTAAAAACTCTCAAGATCACTCGCGCCCGATTTAAAAGCTGAACACTAGATGGAGCTATGTCCTTGTAGCACCACTAGCTAAATTTGGATCGTTATAGCTGTCTCGGGTATAATTCCAATTAGTTACATGCAAGCGGCCAGATCAATGGCTTCTTTACATGTCTTTTAAAAAGCTGAATAAAAGTAACAGTACGTTCCTGAAAGCCTTTTTTAAGACATGCATGTGTCCATAAAAGCTTCTAGAATACAAACAGAAGACTGGGGGGGGGGGAGGGGAACAGCTCAACAAGTATAGTACTGCCTGAGAAAACTATCTACACATTAAGGAATTTTTTAAAAAGCGTATTTCATCTGTCCTAGTAAGAGATATCTGAAAAGAAGACTTTTATATCATGTGTACTGCTACAGAACAGTTGATGCTCTAAACCATGAGAGAGCAAAAAATAAGTTCTGTTCTAGTACCAAGTAGCTGTAGCTGTCCTGCAAGATTTCAAGAAAATTTCAAGTGTAATTTTACGTAGAGACAAAATATCTTTATTTAAACTCTCATTTTGAATATTTCACATTAACTCCACCAAATAATGACAGGGGAAAAAACCCACAACCGTATCTTACCCATTAAAAAAAGAAAATTTTAACATGTTAAAAAAAGATTTCAAAGGATAAGAGAAGGTTGTCTACCTTACCAGAGGAAATTGGTAACATGACTGGCCACAAATCTCTGTTAAAGATAAGGCAGGCTACACTTTCTAATGAGACATAATGGATTAGCTGTATGGAGTCAATGGGGAAGGATTCTCCAATCCATTATTTCCTCTCTACAGGTGATTTAACCAAATTTACATGAAAGGAAATCTCTGAGTATTTAAATGGATCATTTTTTCACAAACACAAGATTACACAGTACTTGCAGCTTTCACAGTCCTGCATCACAATGATTATTCATTGTTTTAATGCTGGTGTTTCATAGTCTGTATAGTCTATGAATACGAGTACTGTGATCTGGGGAAAAAAGTGAAATCACACTGTGACTAACCTTTGCTGGAGTCTTCTTGGAGTAAAGCTTTTCATAAAGAAGGACACGAGGTCTTAGGTATCTCTTGTGAGAATTCTTGAGTAAATTGATAATAAAAAATCAGAATGGTTGAGACTGAATTTAGACTACATTAGTTGCAGCTAATTTACTCTCCTTTATAAACAGTAAAAATAAAGCTTTATAAAAACTTTTCAGCAAATGAAACAGCAATTTGGAACATACTGCAAACTGATGTATCAAAACATGAAATTTTTTTCCTGCCTTACAGCCATGAGCTTCTCTTTAGGGAGCATAGCCATTTAGAGCCTTCATGTAAGTGTCTGTTTTGGTCCTTATCCTTCAGTGACTATGAAACATTTTGCCACTTTTCTGTACAATCCAGCAGCAGACCAAGCAGTGCACTATGAAAGAACCACTAACATGCATAAGCCTAAGAACCATTCAGGCATGCTTGCAGGATCAGGAACATGGCCTGAACTCAAATACAGGGCCTCTCAGCATTGTCAGTGTGACCCATAATGTGATTGTGACACTGAGGAAGAGAAACTCAAACAGTTCTGCTCGACAATTTTTCAGAAAGTAAAAATATACCCTGGTCGTTATATCTAGTTGAGATAAACAGTTATAGAGCAACATCTGGGATCTCACAGATAACTTTCCACTCATTTTCGAGATGGAAGAAATGAAGATGGTCAGTAAAGCAATGTCCAGCAGTGTTCTCTTTTGAGGTTCCTAACTTGTTTTTTTCATGGGTCTTTTCTGAGAAGGATGGTTCTGCTCTCCCTGAATAAGCTTCATTGTTGTATGAGAGGCAAAGACTTAACACAATGCCAGCTTTGTGACAGTAATGTCTCTGCACTACTGCAGAAAAGAGACAAACCACTCTTATCGAGGGGGGGACTTCTGGAATGGTAATTAGCCAAGAGGCCAGGGCAGCTGAGGGAGTGTTTCTGAAACCCACTACGCTGAGAGAGAGAGATGCAGAATTAATCCACTTCAGCTAAAATGATATTAAACAGGACTGACAGGATCAACAAGCTAAAGGTAGCCCAAAATTAGTATTCTCTCTGCTTTCCGGTGGTACAATAATATTATAGTAGTATCAGTGCTCCATATATCAAACAATACAGAAATAGAACAGTGAAATGATTACACATGAACACTGCAGCAGTAGCAGGACAGTGGTTAGCATTCTATGCTTAGCCTGTGCTGCTCAACCTCCCTCTGCTTCTGCCTTTGCTTCCCAAGGGAGTGGCAGTAATTGTACAGCCTGTCTGTTCCAGGTTCTTTCCCTTCACAGCACTAGGGCAAGGCCATGCTCGACTTCCCATGCACTGCCTGACACTGCTTTTCCCAACAAAACACTGGAGTACAGCATGTACCAGCAGGGTCTTGACTATTCCAGCTCACGAATAAACAGGAGAGGAGGTAACAACCCTACATGGCCATAAAGGAGTAAATGAGGTCCCAGATGCTGCTTCCATCATGTGGAAAGTCACCCAGACCCCTGTCCTAGACCACCAGTGAGGCTAGTTGGGGAAAAGGAGGGGAAACCAGGCTGGTGTTGAAAAAGACTCCCAGCTTTGCCCAGACTGTTCTGAATTCCACTGACCTTTTCCCGAATGGCTTAACGATACTGCGACAAGCACTGCTATAGTAATACTTTTTGGTATCAGTATTACGAAAGATGCAAATGTTATGAACCATTACAATTTTGACCACCACTCTGTGTGGCTTATTTAAGATGACTACCTCAAAGCTGAGAGGAAAGACAAGAAAAATTCAAAAGCAAGCCAAATTAATACACAGTCTGTGGATTCTTGCCAGTTTTAATTATTCTTTAGCATGTTCAGAGATGTTTCAAAGGCGTTCTACTTCACTTCCCATTTTCTCCCTCTCCCACCTTAGGCATGTTTGCTCTGTAAGTGAGGTCCAATTCTTTATCTGGAATATCTGGTATGTGATTCATGGTCTTGGTCTCATGCATAAGCTTAAAAGAAAACTGAAATCATACGTAACTCTTTACAAGGTCAGAGAGTGCATCAGTTGGTAACAGGAAACAAAATGTTTCAACATTTCAAATACAGTAAAAGCTTACACTAGGGAAAAGGAAAGTCTAAAACTGAGGACAATTATTGTAAGTAATAGAATTACATTAAAACATCATGCATATTAAGCATGCTTAGGCTATTTAGATGGAAGTCAACATCATCGCAGAGGGAAGACAGCAAACAGTGGTGGTTGAAATACAACCACTCCACAAACAGCGAAAAGTGTGTGTTAATTACATCCTCCGTGTTACAAGTACTCGAAACTCCCTGCTAAATGCTTGCTGTTGTTTAGCCAACTCCCTAGAAAACTGACATAATCATAAGTCCTCAGCACATGCATGCTGTGAAAGAGCTGTGTCAGTATCACACGTGTGGGATGACCTGTTTGAGTAAAAACAAGACAACAGAAACCCTTATCAGATTTTGGATCAGCAAGGCACTCAAAGTGACCAGTAAACTCCCAGTGACCAAAACCTGCAGCACTTTTCGTATTTCTAGAAGTAATCCTGGAATCTCTACAGACAGAAGAAAAACCTACACCTTTTGAGTGTGAGTCTTTGTTTTATGTGTTTGCTTCCTTGGAGACTTCCAAGGCGGGGGGAGGGGCAAGTTGTCCAAACCCTTCCCTTCACACTGAAATTTACTTAAGGTCTGACAATACCCAGTTTCCATCTCTGCAATGAGGCGATGGGAAAGGCTCCCGTGGAGCCACGGTCTAGAAGGCTGCAGCTCGGACAGCCAGACCTCGCCAGTTCCTGCAGGGAACATCGCGGCTGCAGAAACTGAGGTACTGCAAGGCAGGAGAGGTCATGAGGCGCCAGCCAGGAACCCACTAGAAACCATGAAAAAGGATTTGCCTCCTCTGCCCGTCCTGTCAGGGACAGGGCCATGCTCCGTAGCCAGGAGCCTTGGCGCAGCCTTGATTTTACACTGACATGAGGGGTAGGTGGTGGGTGTCGAGCATTTTTATGCCGCTACAGGTGCGCACACCTACGCTGAGGCGCTGCTGCGCGAGCCCTGACGGTGCTGTGAGGAAGCGGGGGTACGCACCTGCCTTGCCAGCCCCACTGCTCCCTGCCTGGGCTCTGCGGGACACGTCTTTGCGCGGGCCAGACCTACCGCGGGTGTCCCGAAGCGCCCCGTGAGCTCCTGTCGGGCCCAACGCGCGGCGAGGAGGCGCCAAGGAGGCGCCAAGGCGGCTCCGGCCCCCGCCGGGGGGCCCCGC